GTGCCTAGTGCAGAGGTCGTGGACATTGGAGGCCTCCCCCCAAACCTCGATGAGGTCCACGATCTCTGCACTAGACCAGCTGGGCGCCCGCCTCTTACAGCCCCGGGCAGGCTCCTGTGAGCCGCCAGCCTGGTCCTGGGAAGAGGCGGAGGGCTGGGTGGCAGCGGGTGGCTGGCTCATGCTGTGCCAGGTGCAGGGTCTGCTAGTTGGGTGCTGGTAGGCTTGCAACTGGCACAAGCACTGTAGCCAGACCTTTTAAGGGCTCCGGGGCCGGGAGGGGGGCAGAAAAGTTTCTCTGGTTTGGCCCAGAGTGGCCACCAGGGCAACCTGGGAAGGGCTAGCCTCCAACTAGTTCAAATTAAGTGGATACATAGCCCTTAATTCAAACTTCTTAATTCGAACTAGGCGTTACTCCTTGAGAATGAGGTTTACCTAGTTCAAATTAAGTGCTCTGCTAGTTCGATTTAAATTTGAACTAGCAGTTTGTATATATAGCCTCTATTAAAGTTAATTCGAACTAACGGCTGTTAGTTCGAATTAACTTTGTAGTGTAGACATACCCTTGTTTATTGATTTGTAAATTCGCTTGGGGATGGCAAATCTGCATGAAAGAAATCTAGCTAAGAAACTGCTAATTGTGTTTGAGTAAATCGGACACTCTGGACAGGATGTTTCGTGTGTAAGCCTGAGACTGCTGAGATCACAGTTTCTGTCTCTGCTTTGCTCTTAGCCCTGCCATACTAATCTTAGGCTTGGTCTATACCATAGGCCTATATCAGTATAACAACATTGCTCAGGGGGGACAAAAAATCCACACACCCGAATGACATATTTATACTAAGGATGTTAAGTATCGTGCAATTGACTAATCGAGTAGTCGATACATTTTTGCATCTACTATTCGATTAGTCGACAGGACAGCGCTGCCCCTTTTAAACATCGCCACTGCATTTCAAAGGGGCAGCACTGCTCAGCTGATTCCAGGCGGAGTACTCTGCAGTACTACCCCTTTGAAACATCGCCACAGAGTTTCAAAGGGGCAGTGCACGTGATTAATCGCTCAATTAAATTTTTGAATCGTGCAATTAATCGCGATTTATTAAATCACTTGACATCCCTACAAATATATACACATACACTACCTACAGCATGTTGCAAATTCCGGGGGGCCCCGGGTTCCCCCCCCCTTGCTGCCTGTATCTAATAGAGGCAGCAAGGCGGGGGCGGGGGAGTGGAGGGAGGGCTGTGAACGACTAGTTGACTATCCTGTTGACTAGTCCTTTACATCCCTAATTTATACTGACCATGTAGATAGTGCTGTGCTGAAGGGAGAGCTTTCCTGATGACAAAGCAATTGTCTCTCAAGGAGCTAAGCTCTCCTGTCCATATAAAAGCATGTTCATTAAAGTGCTACAGCAGCTGTAGCACTGGACATGAAGACAAGCTTTTCGGCACAGCTCAGGCGGAAAATGTAAAGCCACTCAAGAGCAAACCCAACAAACACCATCTGCCCAGAAACATCTTCTGCCCAGAGTTATTGAAGGAGCTCACCAGCCAAACCAACATCTGCAGCTAAAAATCATGTAGAAAGAGGCAAAGGGGCCTAAACCATAATACTTCATGCTGGAGATGTTCGGCTGCAATTTTCCTCATAATATTCCTTACAAATGGAAAGCTAGAGCCATCCAGCTCAGTGATGGCTTGCTGAGTGAAGGCCCAAGAGGTGTTCTTTTAAAGCGAAGTCACACCCTTCACTGGCAATCAGTCCACCCTGCAGGCTTTTACTCTCCAGGTTGGACATAAAGGCTACATCTACACCACCCAGTTATTTCGAAATAAGTTATTTTGAAATAATATCTCCTGAAATAACTATTTTGAAATAAGCTTATTCCTCTTCACAAGCAGGAGTTATTACTTTGAAATAACAAGCCCATTATTTTGAAATAACAGGCCTAGTAGTGTAGACGTTCGCCTTGCTATTTCGAAATATGGGGAGTTATTTTGGAATAACTCCTCAGTGTAGAAATACCCAAAGCTAATTCAAAGATAGCAGTCTGAGTTTCCCTGGACTCCTATCATATCACAGGCATCTGGGGATATACAAGATGGGAAAACTCGGTTGTGTCAGGGAGATGGCACTGAAACCCAGTGTTCCTAAACACAGAGGACTGGTGATGAATCCGTTGCATGTTATTTAATAATGTTGCTAATTTTGTAAGTCTCTGTGCACCTCAGATGGAGAAGGTGGGTGCATGCATTTATTTTTGGCGTATGAGAATGTTCTCTTTAGTTTGCAGTGCTTAGTGGGGTCATGTATTTTTTTATTCACTGATCCTCCTTTTGTTATCCTCATCCCTTTGGGACCAAATTTTCAAAGGAGTTTGGTTCTCATTTAGCAGCTAAATAAGTGCCAGACTTTAATCCGCATCCAGCAGCTCCCATTATCAAACTCTTGGCCAGACTGGCGACTGAGCCCTGCATACAACAGGCTGAGCTGTCTGGAAAGTCAGGCTCTTTGTTTTGGGGCCTTTATGAGAACCAAGCTCTTGAGAACCTGCCCCAGTTATGGGTACTTAGTCCTTCTGAAAACTCTGAGGGTTGGAATGGTGCACTCAGCTTTCGGCCTATTCAGGTGCCACCATACCACCTGGGACGGCTCCAGCCAGTAAAAGGTTCTGATGGTCGTGACACTGCAAAAATAAAACCATTTTTAACACCCGTTTAAAGACATAACTGTGAACTGAATTTTGAACCAAGCTGGGAGCCCGTGGAATTACATGAGGGTTGGGTGGCGGGTGCAGTGGTGTACTTAATAAGACTCCATTGTATGGCATACAAGCAGCTGACAATGGGTAACAGACAGTAAACCAGTGATAATTTTCATATGTAAACCGGCACAGAAGCTTTGTGTTTGCTTGGAAACTTGAGCTTAAAACAGCAAATGCTGCTTTTTGAAAGTAATAAATGCCCTAGCATAGTATCTCAAAAACCCCAGAGACTATCCTGTCATATGATTAAATCTTCACACCCAGAGTTGTCCCTACCAATTTGCAAAACCACATAAGACACCTTTATTGCTACTATATTGCCCCAAATTCTGTGGTGCTCTAGGCAGCTGCATATGGGGTGGCACAAGCTCCAGTGGCCCATCACCTCCTATGAGCTGCACCCAGCAGGGCTATCCCTAGGGAAGTGTGGGTCCCTGGACAGCCCCTTGGTTTACCCCTGCTCCGCCCCACTTCCCCCATTCTTCTACCTCCTTGTCACTGTTCTGCCTCTGCCCCGCCTCTTTCCACCCCTTCATCTTTTTCCACCCCCAAGCAATGTGGCTTAGGGGACTAGTGGGCTGGGGCCGAGTCACTCTGCTTCTTGCTACTGTTGGTGAGTCTAGCAGCAGGCCTGATCCCCACTGCCTCCCTGCCCTGCTTCTGCACCCTCCCCGCACAGCTCCTGCCTCTGCAGCCATGAGCACCCCCCTCCAGCAGAGGGCTGTATAGGGCACCAAAACTTCTAGGAATGGCCCTGCCCACACCATTTCTATTGCTCTCTCTTCACTTTGGTGCATGAATAAAAGACATCACTGAGGTGCCACTTCATTTAATGTGAGAAGGGTCAATATCTGGCTTGTTCACTGGTGTTGCTGGTAGCCAGGTCTTTTTGGATGCAGTTCTCAAAGTCTGAGAAATCTCCTGAGGGAGTGATCCAAGGCCAAAGGCTGTGGTTAGGCGGTGAGACAGAAAATGTATGTCCCCACATGAACACTGGCAAGTGGTGAAACCCTTATTAAAGTGGCTGTTTGAATTCTGAGAGATTTCCAATAGAAGCTGAAGAGACATAGCTCATAGGTGCACATCACTTGGATTTTCTTGCAAATTGAACAGTAATTTCATTCTTTGGGGCAAGGACCATTTTTGTTCTGTTTGTACAGTAGCTAGCATAGTGGTCCTAGTTCATGATTTGGGCTGATACAAAAATTAATAAAAATAGAACACTTATTTTGAAATGTGTTATCACACAGGCTTGCAATAAAGTAACAAATGGTCTGAATGAAAACAAATCAGGTATTTTAATGCAAGGTTCTGTGTAAACAAGCCTCCGCGTTTTGCAATTCTAATTTATTTTATGCCTGTCCTATCTTAGCAGATACTAAACTTTCACCCTAACATTGTTACATCCTCTTATGGAAAAGTCATATTAAAATTTGATAGAGAACTGTATCACTAGTAGTCTATAGGTCGGATTAAAAAAGAACAACGAACCCAAAAATAAACAAAAAGAAACTTTCAACAAGCCTGCAGAGAAATTGTTTTGTCAAAGGTTTTACAAAAAGCATTTCCAGGGAAACGCTTGTTTTCCGTAAGGCTTATAGAATGATTTAACTCCTATCTTTATTGAGAGTTAGTGAATGAGTATCTGCCAATTATCATTTGAAAATATCCTCTCCATAAAAAATGAGGCAATATCACCAGAGTTTGAGGCATTCGTTCTGTATTTGACCGCATTTCCTTAAGACTACCTTAGAAACTTCATCTTGCTTTTCTTCTTTGCCTCGGATCATGCCCATCAATCCCCAAAGGGTTCCCCCTCGCCCCCGCTGTTTGAATATGTATATACAGAAGTTAACACCGGGTAATTGTAAAATGTGATCAGTCTAATGTAACACTGTTGGTCACAAACATTTGTCCTCGGTGCTGAAATATGTCTCTGTGATCTCATCCTTGCAATTTTTCTCCGTGCAAAGTATCAAACAATGCGCATCAATATTAGTCCAAAAAACTCTGCCTACTTACCTTAAAAGAAATACGGCTGTACCACTTTGTACCACCTTAAAAGAAACACGGCTGTAGCGGATCAGCTGACATTTGAGCTCCACCCTTTTATTACGAATGAAAACTACTATCCAAGCAATGAAAAAAGGAGCCTGCCTAGAAAGCAAGTGGGATTTTACGTGGCCAGAAGGATCTAATGTAACACTGAATCTGTAAGCAATACAACTAATTTTTGGTCTTTCTTGTGTTTTGTTTTAAAGGGCTGCTTATTTTGTCAGGGTAGCAAGGGAGCAGAAAGCTTAGCCAGAGGGGGGAGTGAACAGATGCGATGGGTCAGTTTTATATAGTTTTAAAGTGTTACCGCTTGAAACGAGGAAGCATGATAAGGGATTTTTATTACGAAGAAGGAACTTGTTTTGCCATATTACAGCACAGTCCAGAGGAGAGTGTGGCAGATCCTGATTATGAAGGAAAACTTTTTGAACATCGGAATAGTTTAATATTTCCACGTGATTATGTAACCCAGGGGCTGCTGGTCCCGCGATTCCAAATCCTTCCTTCAGGCTGGGATTAATCACCTTCTCAGGGAAATTTTATTTTCTGAAGTTTATAGCAGGATGGCCTTATTTTCTTTCTCCCTGCCACTTGTTGCCAGGTACCAGCTCCAAGAGCTATAGCACCTAGCAGAGAAGGAAACCTGAACAGTGAAAGTTATCCCAGTGATTTTGAGCTAGGGTGAAAACTTAAATGTATATTGATGGAGGAAGCAATAATAGTTCTTTATAATAGATTTTCATATTAATTAAGTCTTTGAGTTGACATGTCTATCACAAAGAAATGCTGGAAAACAAATCACAGTACTGGCTAAACTTTGTGCTTGGACTAGAGTAACTGCTTTGTGACCCTGGGGGAGGTGACAGAAAAATCAAAACATATAAAATGATTTTGGAGTAGTTAGAATTGTTCCTAATTGCAGATATTTAGGAAAACCCTATCCACACCTTTATCCCCCCCTCTTTTCTTTAAAAAAATTGTTTTTGACATGCTTTCTATTCTGCAGTTTATCTGTGACCTTGACATGCTGTATACCAAACTTGATTTATTGTTGCTTCTTCTTTTGATAAAACAACTGGTGACCTACAAAAATGTATATTCTTGGCCTCTGTAACTGACTTATTGATCTCCTATGAATACAATACTTTAAAATATCCTGAAAAAGAGACATTTTTACTTAAGTAAAATAGAGTTTTAACAATTAAAAGGAAAAGGCTAATACTTCTGGAAGAATATTTACTGTTCTATTTGAACTTGGGGGGCAGTTATTTCAAAATAGCTGTTCTTGATCAAACCCTGTGTGGATTATTTTATTCTGGAATAAAAATGCCTTATTCTGAAATAACTTAATTTGTAATACATTCGGAAAGAAATCACTTTTTATTCCAGAATAAGTGTGTGTCCACACTGGCATTGTTCTGGAATGGTTAATCAACTTTAAATTCACACCCTGTTTTAATCTAAATTAGTTTGATCTGACTGGACAAATTTTTACATTCTCTGGTGGTGATAGTTCTTGAGAGAGCGAGCATTTATAAAATATATTTGAATGAAAATGATATGCATCCACAACAGCCCTCACAGCAAATCAAAACAGAGCTTTAAAATAAATAAACTCTCCTGGCTACCCAACCCATGGGACCATAGACTTGTCTGTCAAGGTTTGCCCTGTAGGTCTAAGACAACTGGCTCTTCTCTCTCCAAGAACAGAGACTCCACCATTTCTGTTTTCTGCTTTGCTGTAAATTATTCCCTCCTGCCTAATAATAGCTAAACAATTATTAATGAAGCAACTCATTTTGAAATATATAGAGAAGTAATGTGCCAAATGGGTTAAGCAATAGTTCTACAAATTTCCTCTGAGGGAAATGTTTTCTATGTGCGCACATGGGTAGGTAAATATGTATATTTGTGTGTGTGTGTATGCACATAAATGCAGATAAAATTCTGCTAATGTTACTGTTGCTATTGACTTATAATGGTCATCAGTTAGCGCACATTACAGCAGAGTTCGCAAAACCATATCCATTTTGCTTCCCTCTTTTCAGATGCTCCTATATGCTCCCATATTTTACTTATTAGGAGTGCATGGTTAACACTATTAGCAGTTGTGTTATTTCTCTGAAACATTTTGAGTGAAATCCCTTCAGCTGCTTGAACTCAGAATGTGAGGCCTCTTTCTGTACACTTTCTATTTATTAATAATTTTAACCAGAGATGAGGCTAGTGCATAAAAAGGCTGTGATCTGAAACTTACTATGGATTTAGTCCTCAGTGAGGACTAGGCTCGTTCAGACAGTGCTGCCACTTCTACAATGGCAAGGTATTTTTTAACTAGGATATTTTGAGGACATTGGGGTTTAGTCTGCCAGGAACATAGAGGGATGTTCTCCAGTGTCAATGATTGGTGTAAGGAATCAACCTCACTGTACTGATGAGGATCTCCATGGAGGATAAACTGGGCTCACTAAGAGCTTGTGTGTGAGTTTTCTTTCCCCTCAGTTTTAGGCTCAGTCTTTATTCTCCCCATGTTGGATTTAGAGAGATTTCAGACAGAATAACGGGTGTAACTGCTATTTTTCTTTTAAAAACCTCCCTGCTTCAACCTTTTCAATGGTAAAACAGCTACTGGAGGTAGGTGAAGGGAGAAGGACGTATGCAGGCTGTTGGCCCTTACAAGCTACGCCCCAATTGAACAGCTTCACAGGGGTCCCTTTTGGCCTAGGTCCTCTGCTTGGTTTTGTGAGGTGGGATGGAAGGTTTTAATTAAAGTCAGGAATACTTTAAACAGTGCTGTTTTGCCAAGTTCCTAATACTGTACCTGCTTGCTGAAAGTCATTGCCAGCACATGTTTTTGTGTCAATGATTCCCGATCAAATGTGCAGAATTTGGAAACGGACAGTGTCTTTTCCAACAGTCAACACCGTAGACTCAACCTGGAATCTGAAAGTTAACGTGGTTTTTCTCTTCTTGAGCATCTGTGGTGCTCTACTGCCTTATTGGCTATTCTGGAATAACCCCCTCTCCCTCCCCCACCATCACCTTCAGGTGGTATGTTCTGAAATACAAGCAATTTTATTCTGGATTAATTCGTCTTCTTCCAAATTGGAGTAAGTGAGCCTAAAGCTCTGAATAGTTAGTTTAATTCAGAATATTTGGCCCATGTGGGGATTTATTATGGAGTAGCAATAGTGGAATTCTTCTGCAGCTGTGCTGGTCAATTGCCCTGTGTAGGTAAGCTCTGAAGAAAGACTCACTGCTTTCTGCCTGTGACAGGTGCATACATTGGAAGCTGGGTATGAGATGGCATTGGGCTAGTCTACTGACCCTGAACCTCCTGGGGAACACCCATGTGTGGTCCCCAGAAGCCAATGAGCAAATTTTTTGGAATCTTTCTGGGGCATATGTTCTCCTCCCTTGAACTACAGCCCCAGTAGTGCTGGAGTGTGGAAGATCTGTCACAACAGGATGCTAAGTTGCCAGCTGAATATAATTTTGGGGTTAGTCTAAATGCTTTGGCCTGAGGAAATCTGAATTGATGCCACAATGTTTAGGCTGTGTGGCAGCCTTTCAGATACACACCTACATGGGAAGAGGAGAATGACAAGCAGAAAGAGGTGTGTGGGAACAGTCTAAAGGCAGCCAAAACAAACTTCCATCTTGGAGAGGCAGGAAGATTCATATTCCAGTGTTTCTCGGAAAGACAGGTGAATTGCAAAGATTTAGGTGCTTAGGAGTCCACACATGATTTAAGCACTAAAATAATTGCAGTTTTGGGGTCCCACCAATTTATTCTCCATGAATTGATTTATTTGTAGTGCACGATTCAGAGAGACACATAAGCATGTTAACTTGAAGCTCATGAAGCCAAGAGGGCTACTCATGTCTTTAAAATTAGACATGGCCTTATGTGACTCTCTGCATTGAATTCCAGTGCTTTTGCTCTAACATCCCCTCTTTGAGTGATTAGGAGACTAGTGGAAAGCTGATTGAAGTCAATGGAAAGACTCCTATTGATTTCAACAGACTGTTGATAAACTCCTGCCTTTGTAGGACGGGATGAATTCTATCTATGTGTTCTGTTCTAACTATTGTGTATTTCCCATTGCTCAGTGATGCAGCCTTATTCTTTTCATACTAGTCTGGAAAACAAATTTCAAAACCTGGCTTAGTAATTAGCGAAGCCCGGGATTTAAATATCTGGGCTTCATTTGCATCTTGCCGGGCGCCACCATTTTTAAATCCCCCTTAGTGCGGACTCCGTGCCCGCGGCTACACGCGGAACGGAGTAGGTAGTTCAAATTAGGCTCTCTAATTCTCTAAAGAGCACTTTTGAAAAAAGGCGTTCTTCCTCGTGAAATGAGGAGTACCGCCTTCGAAAGAAAAGCCGCGTTCTTTCGATTTAATTTCAAAAGAACGTGGCTGTGGTCTAGATGCAGGTGAAGTTTTTTCGAAAAAAGGCTACTTTTTTCAAAAAAACCCTGCAGTCTAGAGACAGCCTTAGTGAGGAGTGGGCCCACCACTGGTGTGTGACTTAAAACAGCTTGATGCAGGAAAGGAATGGTTTTGACAAAACCCTCATTTCTTCAGAGACCTCCGCGAGAGCTTCCATTTGCCGTGTACCTCAAAGATATTATGTGATTTTCTGAGCTCGGCCAGTCTCCGGCCATGTGTGTGATGCACAGCCTACGGAACGAAGAGGGTGTGAAACAGTAGCAGCATTCTCTGCTCCCCGTACTCTATGGAATAGGATGAGTTTTGTGGCAGTGACTAAAGACCATATTGACGTAGAGGAGGGAAGTATTCATTTTATCCTGTGCCAGGAGCTGATCAAACTGTTGCACTGATACTACAGAGCTTATCTGATATTCATATTGAAAACATTATTTTTTATGGTGGGCAAAGTGCGCAGTGATTTCTGAAGTACAGTTTTTGCGAGCATTTCTCTGTTCCCAGGGCTGGGCTGGAAGGTACACATGGGGGGGCAACTCTTGCCACGCGTCTTATAAAGAAACCATGCGGTCAGAACAGGAAAAGAGGGAGAGCTGTGATGTGGGATCAGGATCTCTAGCTCCATGTAATCCCCCCTCTGAATTTGGGGGTTCCAGGTGCGGTTTTGAGATTCTACAGATCTGTTTCCCACTGGGAGAATGGGGAA